TATCAGCACATCAAGTAAAAGGTAGTGAGGTGAAGGATGAAGATAAGTGAATACAGTCAAAAGAAATATAAAGTACGAGAAGAAAGGAAAGAGGAGTGACAAAATAGTGAGATTCCGTATAGCGTTGTTAAGATGAGGATAATGTGTGTATACATCTGCGCCACTGACTTCGGTTCTGAGCCATATCACCTAGGGTCTCCAACCACTGGTTCCTCTTGTCCCGTGGACCCCAACCACCTAGTCTGCATCGTCCTACATGGCTTAAACCAACAGTCAGAGACTTCATACATTGGTGCCATGTTTTAGTCTGGCCACCTCGGGCCTTTTTCCAGCCTGGACCCACCTCAGCCAACATTGTGTGACGAGGCAATCGGTGACTAGGCATACGTAGTACGTGTCCCAACCATCTCAGTCGATGAAGGTTCACAACCTCGTCAACTGACTTACCTCTTCTCCCTAAAACTCTACACCTAACTTCTGCATTACTCACATGGTGACACCACGGAATACGTCCTATACTACGAAGGCAACGGTGGTCAAACACCTGAAGCCTTTTTGTGTCCTCCACTTTCAATGGCCATGTTTCACAGCCGTATAGTGGAACAGAGCGGACTGCTGTGCAGTACACGCGACCCTTAATAGACAAACGAATATCACGGCGGCGCCATAGGTGGCGCAAATTGGCAAAAGCCAATCGAGCCTTTTGTATCCGTGCAGAAATCTCATCGGCAACTAACCCACCGGGTTGATCCTACTTCCCAGGTAAGTGAAGTGGTCAACACACTCAACCACTTCACTCTCTATTGTTAACCGCGGTACCGCTGAAGACCAGTCCTGGAGCAAAAATTTGCATTTGGGTGGTGAAAATCGCATCCCAAACATTCTCAAATTCCCACTCAAAGTGTTCAGAAGACTCTGCATCTTGTCAGCGTCTTCACCTAACAGGACTATGTCATCTGCATATTCTAGATCTAAGGAAAATTCACCTGTGATCGGGTCAACGTCTGTGTAATTAGGTGACGAGAGGGAAACCTCCATAAGAATATCTATGATAAAATTAAATAAGAATGGGGATAGTGGGCATCCTTGACGGACACCACTTGATGAGTATAGCTCCCTGGACAACTCGCCATAGGCTCTAACATGCCCACAAGTGTTCGAGTAGAGAGCTTTCAATAAGGTGATGTACTTACTAGGCACGCCTTTCAGTGACAGACACTGCCATAAGACTTCTCGATCAACGGAGTCAAATGCCACCTTCGTGTCTAGAAATACAGCTATTGTCGGGCGTCGGTAAGAATGTCTATGTTCCAGGACCTGGCGCAGTGTGAATATTTGGTCGATACATCCACAGCCAGGTCTAAATCCTGCCTGGTTTTCTCGGGCTTGCTGTTCCCGAGCTCCACTCAGGCGTCGGAGAATTATAGAACTTAGAATCTTAGACACTATGTTCGTCAGGCTGATTCCTCTGTGGTTATCACAAGAGGACTTCTCGCCTTTGAAGACTGGGATGATGAGTGACTTAGACCAGTCGGAGGGGATCGTATTTGATTCTCATATACTGGCTAACACTTCCGTTAGCCTGACTAACAGCACTCTACCACCTTTCTTGTATACCTCAGCAGGTAGTCCGTCCGGTCCTGCTGCCCTTCCCTGTTTCAGGCTATCTACCGCTTTCTCAACTTCTTCTAGTGTTGGGGGGCCTGTCTCTATGTCCCATTCAGGGTCCGACTGGATAGCGGGCAACGCAATCGTGGCTGGAGGCCAGTTAAACTGTTCCTCGAAGTGTTCTGCCCATCGTTCCAGTCGCCTTCCCTGCGAGTGAATCGCAGATCCGTCCTTCTCCGCTATAACCTCACTAACTGTTGTTGGTCTTTCCCCGCCAGTCTCCTTACCAAGTCTAAATAACTGTCCACTGTTACCGATCGCCGCTGCCTTTTCCATCTCTTTAGCCTTCGCTGCCCACCACTGTTCACGATCGTTGCGCAGACTTTTCATCAGTCTATTTTTAAGTTGCGTTCGCTCTTCATTGTACTCAGAGCCTGCAGGGATGCATTCACGTGCATCCATTAGTTTGGAAAAAGCTGCTGATATCCACTGGCTCTTTTTAGCCATTATCTTGGAGTCGGCTACAGTCTCCACTGCTGCTGTTACAGCAGACTGAAGATGGCACCAAGCTTCTTCTGGATGAGTGACAGTATTTTGTTCCGATAACTGCCTAGCCAACTTCTCACTGAACACGGCTTTGGTGTTTTCGTTGTCCAGCAGAACTCGTAGTGGTTTTGTTGCCAAATTTTTTCTACGTCCATTGAGACGCAGGCATATACGTGCTCGGACCAACGCATGACCGCTGTCCAAACACGTACTCCAGAAGGAGCGGCAGTCTTCCACCGATCCTCTCCAGCGATGACTAATAGCAATGTGGTCTATCTGTGTCCATCACTGAGTCGAGCTCGGTGGACGCCAGGTCAGACAGTGCCTTTCTTTATGTCTGAAATTTGTGCTGGCTAAAAATAGGCGGTTATCTGAGCATAGTTGTAATAGGCGATCACCGTTATCTGTACGTTCAGCTGAGATTCCGAAAGTGCCACCTAAGTGCCTTTCTGCCTTACTCAGTCTACCCACCTGTGCGTTGAGGAAACGTAGCTCAATGGGAACGATTGTGTTGGCTAGTTTCAAACCAGATAAAAGTGCAGACTTACCTCTATTGACAGAAATCTGCTGATTGCCTTCTAGTCTACAATTTTATACGTAACTGACCGCTGGTTATTAGGAGATCAAGTGATGACTTTTCCTTGATGATATTTATGCATACAGGTGACTGCTCTTACTGACTAACATCTGTTTTCCTCATTTCTTTTCTTCCTGAGTTCTCAACCTGGATACCTTTAGTAGCATGTATCGCCAGTAGGCTTGCAGTTCGATCTATTTATCACATTCAATCATTTTCAGTCATACAAAAGACTTTATCTCAAGCAATCTATTCGACCAACAGTACTATGCACATTAAACCTCTGAAGAAGTACAGTAAAACTTTACCACACACTCCAGTGGCTGTTACACCACCCAGAAACAAATAACGATCTGCACAGAGCTGCGAAAGATGATCCTTATAATACAACCAGTAACGGTATCATTTTTACCAGTCATTCAAGTCCTCAACTAGCCCTAAGATACCAGCTAACTGCACTTGCATGAAGTAGAGCAGCATAGTTATTCTCAGAAGCATCTGAACCTGAGACTGTTGAAAAATCGAGGGAGATGATGAGACAAAATTGTTTCCTGTACCAACGACCATTAGCTCTAATGACATCTTCAGTTTAAAAATAAAGACATTTATTAACGGGGATACTGGCCACCAGCATAGATTCATCTCTAAAGCCCAGCGCGAGACGTGCACCAGCAGAAGGAGTTGCCTATACCATAAAGCCCTCTGATACTTGTACACTAAATACACTATGGAAAAAGTTATTCAAACCGCTTCACTACGACCTTCCATGCACCTCTGTGGAGTTGTGGTCCATTAGTTGTGAACGGGGTGGCTTTCTACCATCGGGTCACGGATTCGAACACCGCTTCACCTACCGAGGTTTGGGCGACCAGGTAGTAGCATATTAGCCTTCACACAATAGGTGTGGGTCATTGCCTACCGCACGAAAGTACACAAGGTTGGTAAGTGCATTTCGATTCGATTCGTGTGCATCTTTCGGATGTGCCAGGCACCAATAGAAGGCTCTTTACAATCTCAGTCAAACGTGTCTGTTGTCCAATCTGCTAGGCTCTGCATGATTGACAACGACGAAGACATCTAGTTCCTACACTACACACTGACAGTTGAGTTTCTGAATGGTAGGTATAATTCGAAGTTTAATGACTAAACAGTCGAGAAAAGTTACTTGCAGGAAGTATTTGAATGCATTGAGTAATATTTGGTATTATTTGAGTAATGTTTCTATCCGTGAATCTCGTTGAGAATCTATTTTTCCCTCGAAACTCCTTGAATTTATTCTAGTTTTTTGGTGACAGTGTCATCTTGCGTATTATTTGATTGTTGACAAAAGTGAATAGATAAGATTTCACTTCCTGTTTAGTAGATCTGCTTTGAATTCCTATAAATCGTTCATTCTGTGTAAGCCTTCTGTAGATAGATCTCTGAACTGAAATATGGGTTTTCTCTTAGGGCCGAAAATCAGGGTTTTTTAATAAGGATCCTGAAATTCTAGATATTGCACCTCGAAAAACATTCCGAGTAGCCTATTACTTCGAAAATCTCCGTATTCTGTGTACAATTTTCGGTTAACACGAATGCAACTAGCAAAGTAAACATTTGATCGGAATTTCAACTTACCACCAACTTGTTTAAGTATGATGAGATTTCAGTTTGGTACCTGAATAGATTATTTGAGAAAGTATACTAAACCATCATTATGGGATTAGATCATCAGTTTACTCATCTGTGAAAAGACCTATGAATTTATTCAGTTGTTTCCAAATACTTTGAAAGTATGGGTTGATATCATACTTCATAAACCACATTACACTCATCAAGAAGCAGATTGAGTTCCGTTCAGTTTATGGATGGGTTTGCCCGGTATTTAGCCTGCACAGTTACACGTTTTAATACGTCAGCTTACTGTTTCTTGACGTTGTGAATGCTTTTCAGATTGGAACTATGACTCAGCAACTTGAGTACTCAACTGTCAAACATAAAACCCTAGGTTCAAATCCTGCTCCAAGATTTTTGGCCTGGGGAACCGGATAGTGTCACAGGCACTCATAAATTAAGTGTCTAGTAATCTGGTCTAGAAGTCTGTACTTGTTTAATGAGTTACCTTACCTATTCATTACGTTATAAATAGTCATATGTTTAACACATCGTAACAAGAGCGTTAGGTACTTTATGTAGTTTTTTTCTTTTTCTTCAGAATGGCTGGTTCCCAAAATGAAATAAAATTCACTTGGCTTGCAGCTTGTCTAGTTAGCTTATACGGTTTGGGTTCATGGATTGTTGTCAATGGTTTGTGGGTCGAACTACCCCTGCTAGTGAACGTATTACCAGAAGGTTGGAATTTGCCTGCTTATTTGATAGTCATTATACAGGTATGTATGATTAAGTATCACTTCTTAGCCATACTGATATTCTAAAAATTAAGTTTGTCATTTGTAAATCGTAACTATATTAACATGACTTCCTGCGTTAATTTTTAACTAGACTTCATGAATATAGAAGGTTTCCAGATAAGGGCTTTAAATATAGAATAATAAAAAAGTCACCCGACCGATAGCTGCTACCTTGACGTGGTGGTCGGGCTTGCATATCACAATGACCCAACGAGCTATGCTGGTGGAACGCTTGTTCCCTCGAGGTCCTACCATACCAGAAAGGTCTGTTGGGTAGTGGTTAGACGAAAAGCAGTTACCGTTATAGTGTAAATTGCTACACTATGATGGGGGTCTGAGGGCGAAGTCGTACTGCTGCTAGCTGGATGGGGTGTGACAGCAGTAAGGTGTTTCCCTTGGATGACCAGCAGTGCCATGCTGATGCTGCCTTCTCAGTGGAAGGGGGGGTTAGAAAAGGTCGGCCCCAAAAATAACACACTCCACCACGCCCCACGGTCTGCCGGGCCGGCGGTGTTGGTTCACTTGTCGTTTCCTTTCGCTCATCCGGCCCCAAAAATACAAAAGTTCAAAATAATCATACTCAAAAGGCTGGGTGTGACAGGCCTCAAGCAGATGTCCGATGGGCTCTGCGGTCACACAAATCTCTTTCAGGTACCTTAAGAAGAAATAGCCTTCCACGGTGTGGGCAGCCGGGAAGTGTCAACCGCCCTCACAACTCTGTCAGCACCCAAGTTTCTTCTGACTGCTATCCTCCTCCTCCATCATTACCTTCTAATCTTCCTTCACGTCTCTTAATTAATGATGCTGCATCATCTTCAATTTCTCCTACCTCTGCAGCCTTCGACAACGATCTGAGTCCACAGAACAGCGTCCCTGGTCTCCTTAAACCACGCTCCAAATTACATATTGGAGCCTTCAATGTCCGCACCCTCCGTCAAATTGGCCAACAGGCTTCGTTGGCAAAGACTCTAGCAACTCGAGGCATGGATGTGTGCTGTGTTTGTGAGACACGCATACAGGACCCAAGTGTGGTTATTCACCTGACCTCTCCTGACCAATCTGGTGAATCTGCAAAATTCACCCTTCGAGTTTCTGGAGATTCGATAGCTAGCTCTCGTGGTCTTGCAGGTGTAGGTATAGCATTAAGCACCAGGGCAGAAAACTCACTACTAGACTGGATCCCAGTTGATAGTCGCCTCTGCGCTATGAGGCTGAACGGCACAGTGAGAACTAAAAGGAATAGTGAGACTCGCCGTTGTCTCTTTGTAATCTCTGCTTACGCACCCACTGACTGTAGTTCGGATGAAGTGAAGGACGAGTTCTACCATAAACTGTCTAACCTCCTCTCGAAAGCCAAACGTTCGGACGTAGTGGTTGTTGCAGGTGACCTCAACGCACAGGTGGGTAGACTGAGTGAGGCAGAAAGGCACTTAGGTGGCACTTTCGGAATCCCAGCTGAACGTACAGATAACGGTGATCGCCTATTACAACTATGCTCAGATAACCGCCTATTTTTAGCCAGCACAAATTTCAGACATAAAGAAAGGCACTGTCTGACCTGGCGTCCACCGAGCTCGACTCAGCGATGGACACAGATAGACCACATTGCTATTAGTCATCGCTGGAGAGGATCGGTGGAAGACTGCCGCTCCTTCTGGAGTACGTGTTTGGACAGCGATCATGCGTTGGTCCGAGCACGTATATGCCTGCGTCTCAATGGACGTAGAAAAAATTTGGCAACAAAACCACTACGAGTTCTGCTGGACAACGAAAACACCAAAGCCGTGTTCAGTGAGAAGTTGGCTAGGCAGTTATCGGAACAAAAGACTGTCACTCATCCAGAAGAAGCTTGGTGCCATCTTCAGTCTACTGTAAAAGCAGCACTGGAGACTGTAGCCGACTCCAAGATAATGGCTAAAAAGAGCCAGTGGATATCAGCAGCTTCTTCCAAACTAATGGATGCACGTGAATGCATCCCTGCAGGCTCTGAGTACAATGAAGAGCGAGCGCAACTTAAAAATAACTGACGAAAAGTCTGCGCAACGATCGTGAACAGTGGTGGGCAGCAAAGGCTAAAGAGATGGAAAAGGCAGCGGCGATCGGTAACAGTAGACAGTTATTTAGACTTATTAAGGAGACTGGGGGGAAATGGTCAACAACAGTTAGTGAGGTTATAGCGGAGAAGGACGGATCGGCGATTCACTCGCAGGGAAGGCGACTGGGACGATGGGCAGAACACTTTGAGGAACAGTTTAACTGGCCTCCAGCCACCATTGCGCTGCCCGCTATCCAGTCGGACCCTGAATGGGACATAGAGACAGGTCCCCCAACACTAGAAGAAGTTGAGAAAGCGGTAGGTAGCCTGAAACGGGGAAGGGCAGCAGGACCAGACGGACTACCTGCTGAGGTATACAAGAATGGTGGTAGAGTTCTCTTAGTCAGGCTAACGGAAGTGTTAGCCAGTATATGGGAATCAAATACGATCCCCTCCGACTGGTCTAAGTCACTCATCATCCCAGTCTTCAAGAAAGGCGAGAAGTCCTCTTGTGATAACCACAGAGGAATCAGCCTGACAAACATAGTGTCTAAGATCCTAAGTTCTATAATTCTCCGACGCCTGAGTGGAGCTCGGGAACAGCAAGCCCGAGAAAACCAGGCAGGCTTTAGACCTGGCCGTGGATGTATCGACCAAATATTCACACTGCGCCAGGTCCTGGAACATAGGCATGCTTACAGACGCCCGACAATAGCTGTATTTCTCGACCTGAAGGCGGCATTTGACTCCGTTGATCGAGAAGTCTTATGGCAGTGTCTGTCACTGAAAGGCGTGCCTAGTAAGTACATCACCTTATTGAAAGCTCTCTACTCGAACACTTGTGGGCATGTTAGAGCCTATGGTGAGTTGTCCAGGGAGCTATACTCATCAAGTGGTGTCCGTCAAGGATGCCCACTATCCCCATTCTTATTTAATTTTATCATAGATATTCTTATGGAGGTTTCCCTCTCGTCACCTAATTACAAAGACGTTGACCGGATCACAGGTGAATTTTCCTTAGATCTAGAATATGCAGATGACATAGTCCTGTTAGGTGAAGACGCTGACAAGATGCAGAGTCTTCTGAACACTTTGAGTGGGAATTTGAGAATGTTTGGGATGCGATTTTCACCACCCAAATGCAAATTTTTGCTCCAGGACTGGTCTTCAGCGGTACCGCGGTTAACAATAGAGAGTGAAGTGGTTGAGTGTGTTGACCACTTCACTTACCTGGGAAGTAGGATCAACCCGGTGGGTTAGTTGCCGATGAGATTTCTGCACGGATACAAAAGGCTCGATTGGCTTTTGCCAATTTGCGCCACCTATGGCGCCGCCGTGATATTCGTTTGTCTATTAAGGGTCGCGTGTACTGCACAGCAGTCCGCTCTGTTCTACTGTATGGCTGTGAAACATGGCCATTGAAAGTGGAAGACATGAGAAGGTTACAGGTATTTGACCACCGTTGCCTTCGTAGTATAGGACGTATTCCGTGGTGTCACCATGTGAGTAATGCAGAAGTTAGGTGTAGAGTTTTGGGGAGAAGAGGTAAGTCAGTCGACGAGGTTGTGAACCTTCATCGACTGAGATGGTTGGGACACGTACTACGTATGCCTAGTCACCGATTGCCTCGTCACACAATGTTGGCTGAGGTGGGTTCAGGCTGGAAAAAGGCCCGAGGTGGCCAGACTAAAACATGGCACCAATGTATGAAGTCTCTGACTGTTGGTTTAAGCCATGTAGGACGATGCAGACTAGGTGGTTGGGGTCCACGGGACAAGAGGAACCAGTGGTTGGAGACCCTAGGTGATATGGCTCAGAACCGAAGTCAGTGGCGCAGATGTATACACACATTATCCTCATCTTAACAACGCTATACCGAATCTCACTATTTTGTCACTCCTCTTTCCTTTCTTCTCGTACTTTATATTTCTTTTGACTGCATTCACTTATCTTCATCCTTCACCTCACTACCTTTTACTTGATGTGCTGATATGAGGTGTGGCAACTCGGACCGTTACGCAGTAATGCCTGGTCCTATGTTGATAATGATGATGATGATGAATAAAAAAGTCAAAAGTGTGACCATTTCGTGCAGTGTAGTGTTCCTGAAAGTTTCTGAAAGTTGCTGCAATTTTTGTTGTGAACGTTATTTGAACTGTTTTCCTCAGTCTTCAGCCTTTAGATAAAGAGCTCGCAAATGATCAAATCCTTATGTGATTGGAATAACCTAATGACACACAAATCTCTACAGTGTAAGTACAGGTCAGACGATGCAAAAGTTAAGAAAGGCAATATGAGTGCCGCTCACAAAGTAACATTCGGGATAAAAAGACCTCACGTGTCGTGTTCATCCTCCTCTGGTTTCGCGAAGACTAGTTGATAGGCGGCTATCACCTCAATCCTGCCTAAATGCATATAAATGAACGTCAATTAAATAAAAGTCAGTTTTGGATAGATGATACACAGAAAGAACAGTGAGATGTTTGTAGAAACTTGATAGTCAGATCACTCAGTTGCCTATAAGCTTATGGAAAATTTAGAATTTATCAATGATGAAAGTGCACATTTTCATGCTCTTCTTATACATCGTCTGTAAGAAGTTTCATCTCATGAAATTCTGTCATTTTTGTAGTTTTTGTCTCCTTGGTATAATTGGTAGGATGTATTTATGGACTAAATACAGTGTTATGAAGTAGCTGGAACTGTAAAATAACCACCTTACCTTTTTAGTATATTGTGATCATGGTTCAGGACAAGTGTTTGCATGTCAAGTATTGTCGGTAATCTTCTATGACAAAATGCTTGTTTTAGAAAACTATGAACGCCAATATCACTAAAACCATTTCGTTATTTAATTATTGACATTTTAGTCGCTTATTAAACGTTAAGATTCCCAGTATTTTATTGTCACAACTCTTTATCTATATGTGAGGTCTGCAAATAT